CAGCCCTGAACATAACGTGAGAGCGTCTAATGATGTGCTTACACTTTCCTTGTTAGGGACAGTTCCCTGGCGTAAATGCAGGACACCTGGGAAGAAAGTTGAGACAGTGGGAGAAAATCCAGAAATCAGGACCGTCCCACCAAAATAGGGGACAGTTTGGAAACATGTGTACATAATATTTATATTATCTATATATTATATTTATTTTCACATAAATGCAGTAAACATCCTAATTCTCTGATTTCCTAATCATTAACACAAGTGACCACTAAATTCACTTTAAATTCCAGAAAATTACAAATTTAGTGAATAATTGTGTCACACTTCAACATTATCACTGTCACCTTTTTTTCATCCTGAATGACTGTGGTTGGCTGTAAACTTTGGTGGGCTAGACCAGTGTTTTCAGCCAATCAGAGGTAGCTAAGATGGAAAACTTTACATTGAAAATGTGGAAGTCTAGAGAGTTTAATGGAGGGGAAACTCTCTGGGTGATGTGGAGAATTTTGTATTAGTCAATAATTGTTTAAACAATTTGATATAAAATTAGATGGACTGTACTTAGAAGTTCTAAGCAGTATAACCACTACACCAAGCTATATTCAATGTATTTTCATAGCTAGATTAATCATAAAGTGACTGAAAACATTCTTGGGCCCATGGTTTAAACCAGTGGCGTACACACGACCCATGGGGCCCCGGTGCGAAAATTGATCTGTGGGCCCCCGTGCTTATTCTGCGCGGGTCGGGGACGCAACACATGGCGGCGGGTAGTTGGTCGCAGGGGTCGCAGGGCTGCGACCCCTGCAACCGCGGTATGTACGCAAGCCAGTGCATGCAGATACACACTTAAAGGACCACTACAGACACCCAGATCACATCAGCTCAATGGAGTGGTCTGAAACTGCTATGTTTCACTGAGGGTTAATCCAGCCTCTAGTGGCTGTCTCATGGACAGCCGCTAGAGGCGTTTCCGCAATTCTCACTGTGAAAATCACAGTGAGAAGACGCCGGAAGCCCATAGGAAAGCATTGAGTAATGCTTTCCTATGGGTGGTTTGAATGTGCTACTCTTGCCGCGCATGCGCATTCAGAGCTGAGGGGCAGAGGGATCCCCAGCGCCAAGAGAGTTCAGCGCTGGAGAAAGGTAAGTGCTGAAGGGGTTGTAAACACACATACTCTCACGAACAGATGCATACACACTAGCTAACAGACACACACATTTACTTACAGAGACACACTCAGCGACATACATACATACATACACTCACTGACAGACAGACACACATACACACTCACTTACAAAACATACACTCTCACTGACAAACACACACTCACTAACAGACATCAAACAGACTCACTAACAGACAAACAGACACACAAACTAACACACTCAGTAACAGACACTGACACAAACTGACACACACACACAAACTAACACACACACACAAACTAACACACAAAAACTGACACACTCACTAGCAGACACACACAGTAACACATACACTGACACAAAAACTAATAATAACACACACACACTAACACACATACACATGTTTTTTTTTTTAAACTGTGATCCCCAGCCTCCCTATCTTTGGAAGTGCTGAGGGGATTCCCTTGGGTCCAATGGTGTTGCTGGGCGGCCGTTCCTGTGGGCGCACAAGGGAGCACTGAGATCCTCCTGTTCAGCTCCCTTGAGTGCCGCTTACTAATGCCGGCATCAGTGCGGTGCGTGCGAGGGAGCTGGGCAGTGAGCGCTCAGGGGAGAGTGCTCCCTCGCGTGCCCGCCAGCCCGTCCAGCTCCTGGGCCCCCCAGGAGAATAGGCTGGCCACACTGGCGTACATATCGGGTTGCAGGACTGCCTGCCCCCTGGTGGGCCGGGCCCGGTCGCAGCCGCGACCCCTGCGACCCCGGTATGTACGCCCCTGGTTTAAACTGAGGTAGTCATGTCATAAAGATGCTTGGCCTCATTCATCATCCCTTTATAGAGTGAAGGGGATTCGCAGCTAAGCTGCATGAAAAAAAAAAAACATCTAAGTCAATACATGTAACAGGAAACAATAGCATTCTGAAAAGTAGCACCAGAAGTGAACAGATAGTGATATGTGTCTTTATGGTCAATTACAGTTTAATAATACAAACTAAGAATCTGATTTAAGGAAATTCTGGAACCTGATGTGGGTAACTTAGCAATGTATTGAAAAGGGTACTGGTTTGCCTTGAGGATAATATAAAGGCACCTTTTTGAATGTATAGACCCACATGGAATTGTGTGTAATATATATATTTTCAAAACTATATTTTCAAAAAATGCAACCCCAAGCTCCCAGACAAATGCCTTGTTTGCCTTGTGTTCTGGGGCTGTCCACCTTAATGTGAGTGAGTGAATGTACCTGTCAGTGTGTGTCTGTCAGTGAAAGTGTGTGAATGGATGTGCCTGTGAGTGTGTGTCTGTCAGTGAAAGTGTGTGCCAATGACTGTATGTGTGTGCCAATGACTGTGTATATCAGTGCATGTATCAATGAATGCATGTGTCTGTCAGTAAAAAAAATGACCTTGACACGAATTGGGGGGGCAAATTTAGATTTTGGGGGTGCCCGAATTTAGTTGTGCTTAGGGCAGCACAAATCCAAAATACACCACTGCGCATAGCTACACAGAATAATCAAGAGAAATATTTTCAGCTTTGTCGAGCTTCATAATTAAATCACATTACTTTTTAATCATATCTTTGAATGAAACTAAGTGCACTAGAAAACACTGATAGAAAATAAATGTTATCCTCACTTGTAGGATGTTAATATTTTCTCTTAGCAATTTCTCTAATTAAGCCTCTAAATAAGGTCTGGATCACTCTGTTTAGGGAAATAGCCTGGAGTATTAAGCAACATATGGTAAAGCGCTCAATACGAATGGTAGTGTGTTTGGAAAGTACATGCTGTTTGGGATGCTGGACTCCCAGCGGCTGGGTATATATGTATTTTTTTTTCTTGGCTGCTTCTCGGTAGTTTATAACCAATGTGCACACATTATCCACTCTTTGGATTAATTAAATTCACCATGAATGTGTGGGGGATGAAGGAGCAACAAAGTCAGGCAGTCACAGGGCCCATCTGTCTCCATCGTTTCCTCTATTTTTAGCTTGTTCTTAGCCTAACTAGAAAAATACAACCAAACTTCTTAATCAGTAATGTTCATACTTTTAAACTGTAATCAATTGTTTATACAGAATTTAATGATTTTTTAAATTTTTTTATTTTTTTTGTAAATGTCATTAAATTTCATGCTGATACTTTTCCTAACAAACTCAGGGTTTTGTTTGCAAAAAACAAAAGAATGGTTACAATCTAAAGATATGAGAAAATATCTGCAAGGATGAAAAACTGACTCAAAATACAAGAAATCTTAAAAGAGATTGCTGCGGCCAGGAGTAACTGGGCCCAAGGCAGCTGCCCCTTTTATCCTGCATTAAAGACAGTCCTGCTGAAATAGCTCAACTGAAAGCAAAGTTGACTTAGAGAATGTTCCCAGTATGGGTCCAGTATGGGTCATTTGACCTTACATTTGAAATACACTTTGAATTCTCGTTTAGTGTTATCATTCTAGTGGTTCAATGATAATATCCCTTAATAAACCTGAACTGCCATTTATTTATTTTTTTTTGTCTTCCTTTATTCCCTTGAAATGTAGGGGGCATAGGTTTAAGCACATTACAATTGCCCGCCCAAAATTAGTGTCTAGAGAAACGGGGCGCCAGTGAGAGGGTCCTAAAGAGGGTGGGCCAGTAATGCAATTGGGGCAGACCCACCTGGAATTACTGGCAGGGTGAATTGGTCTGGAGACCCTGCTTACAGATTTTATCCCTTCGTTATCTCAGACTTAGCTATATTTAGAATTGTGTGTTTTATATTAATAATAGCAAATGGTGAATTATATTTGGATATATCATTTTGGAACCATCGAACATAGGGAGGTTAATCCCTTCTGTGTAAGTGAGAGCTGCACATAATGCATTTAATGTTTATGAGTTAACATCTACATATGTTTTGCATTCCCAAACATTTTCGTGTTATGTGTTTGTATTGTCTGCACTATGTTTTACTGTTTATTAAATGAAAATACTGTAAAACTCTATAAACTTTCACAGGTAAAAAATGTATTAGCGGTGATGTGCTCTGATTAACGTTAACATTAGGGAATAAGTGCCTAATACAGAGGAAACATTGATAGCCCTGCTTTAAGTTCTGTGCAAAATAAGCATCAATCTCTGAAAGCAATTGTTTTTGTCTAATATTTGGCATTGCATTTATGTTTATAGTATGGTTTTATAGGACTCGTCTCACTATCAGGTTTGTGCAGCGGAAATATGATATAGTTTCATGCCACTGCTGTATATGTTTGCCAGTAAACACTATATGGTGTCTATAGGTGTGAATAACAAAGGAACTGGTAAAAAAACAAAAAACTGACAGTTCCTTTTATATACTATTTAAGGCCTATGGAAACAGTTGGTGTTACATAAATAAACATTAATGAATAGAAGTGTATTCCATTCTCTATTTTATTGTAATATTACAGTCTCTAAACATATTGATTGAAAGCCCAATCAGCCCCACATATTTATTATCCCTCTGGGTCAGTCCAATCCTGCAGAGCATATAGAATGTGGCATACCTGCCCAATGCAGTATCCCACATGTTGACAGGCTGGCAAAGGCCCTACTCAGTTCTTGCCTGCTGTCTCACACTTACAGCGAGATATCACAACATCCATCTATTTGCTGCCTGTGTTAACTGTCCTCCCCAACTTTCCTCAGTTTTGTCATGGTTTTCTAAGATTATATATAAAATATATAATATATATTCATAAATAGGGATGTACATAAGACATGAGGTCACGCATTTAGGCTGGAACAAAGGAGATTTAAAGGGACATTATAGTCACCTGAACAACTTTAGCTTAATGAAGCAGTTTTGGTGTATAGAACATGCCATTGCAGCCTCACTGCTCAATCCTCTGCCATTTAGGAGCTAAATCCCTTTGTTTATGAACCCTAGTCACACCTCCCTTCACGTGACTTGCACAGCCTTCCATAAACACTTCCTGTAAAGAGAGCCCTATTTAGGCTTTCTTTATTGCAAGTTCTGTTTAATTAAGATTTTCTTATCCCCTGCTATGTTAATAGCTTGCTAGACCCTGCAAGAGCCTCCTGTATGTGATTAAAGTTCAATTTAGAGATTGAGATACAATTATTTAAGGTAAATTACATCTGTTTGAAAGTGAAACCAGTTTTTTTTCATGCAGGCTCTGTCAATCATAGCCAGGGGAGGTGTGGCTAGGGCTGCATAAACAGAAACAAAGTGATTTAACTCCTAAAAGACAGTGAATAGAGCAGTGAAATTGCAGGGGGATGATCTATACACTTAAAATGCTTTATTTAGCTAAATTAATTTAGGTGACTATAGTGTTCCTTTAATCTAAGGCAAAAAGAGATGGTTTTATCAGAGTCTATACAGATGTTTAAACTGCAATTGGATAAATAGATGCAAACACATAACAAACAGGGATATAATTTCTAATTAGTGGGGTAATAGCTGCTTGATCCAAAGAGATATCTGACTGCCATTTTGGGGTCAAGAAGGAATTTTTTCCTAGTTTGTGGCAAAATTGGAAGCGCTTCAGACTGGGTTTTTTGCTTTCTTTTGGATCAACAGCAAAAACATATGTGATGAAGGCTGAACTTGATGGACACAAGTCTCTTTTCAGCTATGTAACTATATGTGACTATGTAACTAAGTTACAAATAGACTTGGAGATTTGTGTTGAATTGATCTGCAATTTGACCGATCAGGCTGATTTGATGATCAGAAGAAATTCTAGTTTTTCACCCTGCCGCATGCCATAAAATCACCTTGGCATGCTTGTTTTCATTCATGATTTGGAGTGTATTCCTGACACCAGAAAAAAGGGAGATGCCAATCAAGAGGTCTGTCGAACCATGTGATCTCGATCTCCTGTCCAATTAAGAGTTAGTTGGAGTAGGAGCATGGATCGTTGATTCTAGTGGGAGACTAGCTTTTGGTTCATGCTGTATCCAACAGCTAGTACTGCCAGGAGCACCAGAGAAAACTTAGACTGGGAGATAGGAGGTTGGTAATTTGCAGGCATTTTGTAATTGATACTAATTTGAGACTGTTTTACGAATATACAGCTGTAAAAAGTTATTTTTTATTTTGTTAAATGTTTGGAGGAAAGAAAATGTATTCTTTTGGATACTGTGGTGTCAGGAAAAAAATAATCATTTTGCTTAGCCTGGGTCATTGATTATAGAGTGAGACTAGCTATAGCTTTATGCTGTATCAAGAAATTAGTACTACCAGGACCACTAGAAAAAAACTTGAATGGGAGATAGGAGATTGCAGTTGACAGGCATGTTGTCATTGATGTTAGTATAAATTAGGTTACCAATATACAGGGGTTTTTTTTTGTGTGTGTGTTTTTTTTGTGTGAACTGTATGGAGAAATAAATGTTATTTTCTAACTGTGTTCAGTCAAGTGTGTGCTGTACGAGCACTGTGGTTTTTGTCAAACACAATAGCATAACTGCAGTGTACTCAGCAATCCATAAACCCCTTTGCAACACAAACAACTATTTTTGTTCAATACAGTTGTTATTTTGCACAATACACAATCAATTGTATATTTAATTTACTGCAATAAGAAAAAGAAACCCATCACCAATGTTGCATCCTCATCCCAAGCAGAAATTGAGGGATGGTAGGAGAAAGGGTCCTGATCTGTAATCCAGCATCAGCTGTATTGCCATGGCAACCGAGAATCTGAATACCTCTTCCCCTGCCATGAGGATTGCTGACATCTCTTGCAATATTGCCTCTGCCGCCACAACTTTTAGTATTATTCAGGTTTCCGATTGTGAGACTAACAACATCTTTGTTAAGTCTGAATTACCATCCAGGAGGAGGAGGGAGGATGTTTCACAGTCTTTTACTGCTGCAATAAATTCTGCTGCCACTCCCAATGGCACTGCAGCACATTCTAGCACATTTAATTCAAGCATTAAAGATTCTATGTTTTAAGGTATTTGAGAACTCAATGGACGTTGCATTGCCTATGTTACCCCCTATTTATTGTCACCTCTCCAAGAAGCAACTAAGGGAGAGTTCAGCAGAGACTTTGTCAGTACTACCAGTGCCACTCTTTAGTGAAGAGGTAGAGCAGAGTATCCAAGTAGTGTCCACAATGTCTGGTCTTGGTGGTGGTTGCTAAACTAGTGATAATGATATAGTTAATTCCCCCACCATTCCAGACATTTGATAACGTTTGTGCCAGCAAGAATTTGACCATGATACAGAGAAAATAAAGAGGGGAGTCCAGAGAGAAAACACAGCAGTCTACTATTTTCAGCACCTACTGTGCACTTGCCATTTTATCTAAGTCAATTTCTATCTGCATTAGAATAACCTAATTTTAATGAAACTATAGGAGTTTAATCTCCCACCAGTTCCAAAGAAGTAGCTCACCCAGTGCGCTTATTATTAATGCCACCAGACTTTCCATTTGCATTAGTCAACCAAGTATCTTCCAAAGTTGTAAATCCACCAGCATCTTCATCATTTACAAGGCCAATGGTTGATGCTAGAAGATCACACCACATTTGTCAACATCACATTTGTTCAGGAAGTGAGTGGGGGATGAGTGTATGGTCAACTCACTAGTTCTGAACGAATATGTGCAAAAACACAAGTTTGTATTACTGAAGGAAGATGCTGAAAGATAAAGTACTAATGCAAGCAGCAGGTCCACTGACACTGGCGGAACTACCAGAGTCACAGAGTCACTGGGGGCACGCCGCCATGTGTTGCCGTGCCGTCCCCCATGGTACGGCCACCGGGGCTGCATTGAAGGGTCCATTGGGTGGCCCATGCATTTTGCATGTGTGTGTGTTTGTGTATGTGTGTGACTATGTGTGTGTGTATGTATGTGTGTATGTATGAATGTGTGTGTATGTGTTTGTATCTATGTGTGTCTGTTTGTATGTGTGTGTCTGTATGTATGTGTATGTGTGCCTGTATATGTGTGTGTCACTGTACGTGTGTGTGGGTCTATGTGTGTGTCTGCATGTGTATCTGTTTCTCTATATGTGTGTGTGGGAAGGGGGTGGACGTATGGGGCAGGGGAGAAGCAGATGTATGGGGGGAAGTAGAATTGGGGGGGGGGCATGGCAATTTCCACACCAGGGTCCTGTGGTTTGTAGTTACACCACTGTCCACTGGTTCGGTATCTGATTATTCATAACCATATACCTACCTCCATTGGCACCCCCTCCACTACTACCACCTTAAGACAGAGCAAGGGGGATGTTGAAATTCACTAGGTGACAGGGGCAGGCAGAACATTACTCCTACTGCTGCTGTTCTCCTTTTGCAATGTCTTTCATAGTAGTGGTTTTGCCCTGCCTGCCTGGGTGATGCTTGCATTGCCTGCTTCCTCCGCAAACGCAGAAGCTAAAAGGGCACTGTGTTTTTCCACACGGAAGGAAGGTCACTGATGTTACAGACTGTATGTATGGAAACGATTTGTTCTTGTCAGGGTGTAAGTGGTGAGTGGGTGGCCCACTTACTGTCTTAGATAAATCTGCTTTATTCAACCAAAAATTACTCCCCATCCCCATTTTTCATGATATATGATGGAAAAAGAAAACAAAAAGATTACAATCAACCATTATAAAACTAATAAAAATCCAAAAAAATAAAGGACACAATGGCGCTAATTATAGTATTTAATCTGGTGCAGCTAAAATTACCCAAGTGTAATGTCACCGTTTACACTTAACAATTGTGATAGAGTAAAAGAAAGAAAGGTGATTTGCGCACACAGAAACAAATATTTTGTTTACCTTACACTCATTAATTTTCTGATAATCAAACCATAGGTAGTTCTTTAAAATCTATATTTAAATGAATTAGAAAACACACATAGTGTAAACTCTATATCTGAGGTAGTATGAAAGTTAAAATATTTCTTCAAACTCACAATTTTAAATTTTCATTAAAAGTTGGCTCGGTTCTTATGGTGCTTTTCATCTCATCCGTGAGATATACAATGAAAATGCAGAGCGAATGCCCTCAGGAACTCGGTGCTGTTGAATTTGCAGGGAACTCCAGAGTCCAGGGTATATATTTGGTAACGGTTTATTTAACAGATTATTAAAAACAAAAGTTTGTTTTTAAAAACAGAATTAAAAATAATATAAAGTAGCACACGATTTAAAAATCCTTTTTTAATATTTTTACATGTTCCCCTATTCGGACTTTTAAGGCTCTTGATGTTTTTCCAACATATTGGTATCCACATGTACAGCTCAATAAGTATATAACATTACTCGAATGACATGTAATCATAGATTTTATTTTAAATTCTTTCTTTGTTACAAAGGAGCTAAAACTTGTTACATTTTTTTTTTTGTTATATCTGTATTTTTGCATGTGTTACACATCCCACAATGGAAAAAACCTTGTTGACTTTTTGACCAATTTGATAAAAAATTTGTATTGTCTAAAAATCTTTTTTCTAAGAAACTGTTGGTTAAAATCTATTTAAATTTTTTGGTTTTGCACCTATAAAAATAAATTTTGGTTTAGAACCTATATATTCCAGTATTTCCTCTGCTTGTTGTAAAATATGCCAATTTTTATTTATAATTTTCTTAATGATACCTATATTACTTGAATAGTTAAAAATAAAAGGGATCTGGTTATTCTTATTCTTATTGTCTGTCGTTTTTTTCTCATTATTATATTTTAAGAGAGGGGATTTTTCTAATAGTGCAACATTATTCATTTGAGTATCTAGATCGTTTTCATTGTAGCCTCTTTGGACAAATTGCTTTTTTAAAAACTCAGCCTGGTTAGAAAAATCTTGTTTGTTGTTCGTAATCTTAAAAATTGTCCTCTAGGTTTATTGGACAGTCAGGGCTTATGGTGGCAACTATTAATCTTGATATAACTGTTCACATCCACTTGTTTAAAAAATGTGTGAGTCATTAAAATATTGTTAAAAGTATAAATATTTAGATCTAAAAAATCAATACTTCTATTACTCACACTTTTGGTTAAACAAATTCCCCAATCATTAAGATTGAGAGAATTAAAAAAGACATCAAAAAGATAATTAGATCCCTTCCA